GGGCATCGCTTTGCACATGGTACACATGCACGTATGTATATCGTATATATTTTTTCCAAATATATGAAGATTGAAATGAAATATGTTAATAGAAATACGAGAGTGATTTGTTATTATAACGAATCAAGAAAATTATTTCATTATTTTAGATCACGCTGGCGTTGTATAATATTTTTCCATATCAACTCAATTGAAGATTTTTAAAGAATATTTTCAGGGAATATCAATAAATATTTTAACGATTATTTCGAAGCGGAAATGTTTTATTTTTTTTTTCACTGAAACTATCACGAATCAAGAATTTTTAACCAGAGAGCAGAGCAGTATAGTCGGACGGGGCCGACCATACGATATCCTACACAACTACCACGGTGATATTTTCACCCTCTTGTCCCATTAAAGGTAAACAGCACCTTTTCCTTACACTGACATATTTTCCTTCAGTCCTTCTAATTGCTTGTCCATATTCCCATCAGCGTGGGTTGTGTTGCGATCTTCGGATTTCAATAGTCGGACGTGGCCTATAGATCGACTCGAAAAAACACAAAAAAATTAAATTTTCGTTCCATTTCATCCCAAATATATTATGTGATCATCGCCCAAAATTATAGGCGTTGTCCTTCGCCATAACTGGAATCTCATGGAAATTTTCAAAGCAATCAGCGCTATAATTCCGCCCTCTAATGTGGTAATGGGTTACTAAATAATATCACAGTACGTAAGCACCCGTAAATATGTATGTGCAACTCCCACATCCGAATACATACGACCATATAATTGGTACCAATTTAAGTATCAACCACTCCTCTTGAACATACTATCAATTTCTCGGGTCTAGGACCATCAGGGGCAAATATATTCGCCATAGAATACAAATTTTGGAAATTTTCACACAAAAGTCAGGGTCCATTGGACCCGCTAAACATTGACCGATCTTTATAAAAACAGGCATACTTATTCTTTGGCCCGATCCCCTTCTCCATGCAAAAATTCGAGGTGTTTGGACCATAATTGTGGCTTCTGGAGCTACCAGAAAAACCGACAAAAATAAAGTTTTTGATCCATTTCATCCCCTAAATATTAACCGATCTTTTACCAAAACAATGGGGGTCATCATTGGCCAGAACCCATCCTACGTACAAAATTTCATGAAGATTGGCCCATAACTTTGGCCTGTATCGTGTTTACAAATTATAATGGACAGACGGACGGACACACATGTCTAGATCGACTCAGCTAGTCGAGATACTTAAAGGTGGGTCTAGGACCAATATTTCGCGGCGGCAATTCACGCATGTCCGATTGTTGAAATCACGATATAGATCGCAATATTTAATATAGAGATCTGAAATTTTGAATAGATATTCGGTAGTTTGGGGATTTTGGTCAGGTTTTCCACCAAAAATGGCTGTAATTTGCTATTTTGGGTTCTCATGGTATAGACCATATCCGTATTAATATTTATTAATATTGATCTTCTGCGAAAAATACATGAGAATTTTTCGCAATGTTCAATGTCCTATCATAACATGACTTTTCTCCCATCAGCTCCATTAATTTTAAATATTAGGTTGGGGAAAAAGATATCCATTAGGCCCGTCGTCGAAAATTTTGATAAAATCGGAGAAATGATCGAAGTGGACCGGCATGTTAGCAGTCGTATGTTTGGGTGACACACCAATTACAAACGGTGGCCAAACCGGGACTAATGATTAGAAAGGTTCTGCTATGCATTTGGTGGGACTGAAAGGGGATTATTTATTATGAGGCTTCCATATGATCTCTACTGTCAACAACAGTACCGTTTGAAGGTAACAATTGATCAAAAATGGCCAGAATTGGCCAACAGGACAGGTGTCGTATTCCATCAGGACAACGCTACGCCACACACATTTACTCACCAGAAACTTCGGGAGCTTGGTTGGGAAGTTTTAATGCATCCGCCATATAGTCCGGACTTGAAACCAAGCTATTATTATTTTTTTCTTGTATATCAAAATTTCTTTAATGATAAATAATTTGTATCTAGGGAGGATTGTAAAAATCGACTTCTACAGTTTTTGCAAATAGAGAGCAATACTTCTATGAGAGAGTCACAAAACGGTGCATATTTGGTTAAATAAAGGCCTATAGTTCACCCATAAAAATAAATGATTTTATTTTCCACAAACTTATTATACCCTACACAACTATGTTGTCAGGGTATTATAGCTTTGTGCAGCCCCAAAAGTTTGTAACGTCGCGAAAGTATACCGATCGTTATATCTCGACTAGCTGAGTTGATCTACACATGTGTGTCCGTCCGTCAGTCTGTCCGTCTGTCCATTATAATTTGTAAACACGATACAGGCCACAGCTATGGACCAATCTTCACGAAATTTTGCATGTAGGATGGGTTCTGCCCAATGAAGGCCCCTATTGTTTTTGGTAAAGATCGGTTAATATTTAGGGGATGAAATGGACCAAATACTAAATTTTTGTCGCTTTTTCTGGTCGCTCCAGAGACCACAATTATGGTCCGAACATCGCGAAATTTTACACGGAGAAGGGAATCAGGCCAAAGAATAAGCATGACTTATTTCATAAAGATCGGTTAATATATAGCGGGTTAAATGGACCCCGACTTTTGTGTGAAAAATTACAAAATTTGTATTCTATGGAGTATATGTTTACTCCTGAAGGACATAGACCCGAAACGTTGATAGAATATGATAAACCAAATGATACCAATTCTATTGTAGGATGTGCGCAGATATGGGAGTTATACATAATAAGGTAAATGAGACTATGTGCATAGTGTTACTATTACTACATTAGAAGACGGAAATGCCGCGTTGATCGCTTTGAAATTGTAAAGGAAGTTCCGATTATGGTCAAGATGGTGATCGGTCAGTATTCCGAGGGTCAAATCAACCAAAGCATAAAGTGACAAGTTTTTTATTTTATGGCGTAAAAATTCACTTCAAGAAAAAGAATGGAAAATATGCCAGGGTTAGAAAGTTGAGCTGTTGACCTGTAATCGATCAAGAGGGTGCAAATATCACGAAATATTGTCCAGTTTCAGAATATAGAACCGCAGAAAGTTAGAGTCCCGTGGTAGTTGTGTAGGGTATCATATGGTCGGCCCCGTCCGACTATACTGCTCCGCTCACTGGTTTTTTTATTGCCATCCTCATGGTGGAGGGTGCAAAAAGTACAGACGGGTCGAACTTCACATCGTTTCTAGTTGTTCTCAATCACTTTTCTCTTCAAGAATATCTAATGTGTTTCTATTAGAAGACTTTCTGACCTTCCATACGAATTCCGTTTATTCTTCTTTGAGAAATCATCCAGGTTCTTATTAGAAAAACCTTCGGTTTTCTATAAGTGTAACACGAAAATCGCCGGATTCTTTATATGAAGGCTTTCCATTATAAAATATGTGGCCTTCTGTTCTGTTATTTTTTACTCTATAAGAAAAACTTCTGCTCTGAAATAAACACTGTGTTTAAGATTTTTTTGAAATTCTATAAGACATCTTTATGGTACTCCATCGAAAGACCTTTTATTGTTTTTACGATGTAACCCTGGTGTCCTAAAAGAATACTCTCTTAACCATTATAAGAAATTTATGGCCTTCTATACAAATAATTATCGGACTTCTATCAGAACAATTTCTATTCTATTAGAAGGCAATTCTATTGCTCTAGCAGAAGATCCTCTGTACTCAGATATTCTGGTCTTCTATATGAATACATATGGTCAATGCGAAAATTGGTTACTTTCTATAAGAAAACCAGTAAGGAAAGTAGTAAAGTCGGACTGGGCCGACTATATGATACCCTTCACCATATGTACATATGTATCCATAAAAATGTATATCAATGTTCCCTTGAAGGAATATTTCGGGCGGATTTGGAGTCGTCTGCGTACCATTGGACAAATTTATGGAAAACGATTTGTAGCAAAATTGATACACGCTATTCGGTACGCAGCACTGTTAAAAATTTAATCTCAATGAGACACCCGTTCGAAATACATAGGAATTTGGTGCACCATTTATATAAAATCAGACGAAAATATATATGGGAGCTATATCTAAATCTGAACCGATTTTCACGAAACTTAACACACATCATTCTAGACTTAAGTCAGTACGCTATGCCAAATTTCTTACAAATCGAAAGATATACAGGCACTTTAGTACACCATTTACATTAAATAGGACGAAAATATATATGGGAGCTATATCTAAATCTAGACCGATATTCACGAAACTTAACACTCATCATTCTAGACTTAATTCAGTACGCTATGACAAATTTCGTGAAAATCGGAGCATATAGAGGGACTTTGGTCCACCATTTACATTAACTCGGACGAAACTATATATGAGACCTATATCTAAATCTGAACCGATTTTCACGAAACTTAACACACATCATTCTAGACTTAAGTCAGTACGCTATGCCAAATTTCGTCCAAATCGAATGATATACAGGGACTTCAGTACACCATTTACATTAAATCGGACGAATATATATATGGGAGCTATATCCAAATCTGAACCGATTTTCACGAAACTTAGCACACATCATTCTAGACTTAATTCAGTACGCTATGCCAGATTTCGTCCAAACCTCGTTTCCTTCTGCCTGTTACAAACAAATGCACAAAGAAGGGTATAAATTCAATGGTACTAATTTGTCTTGTAATTCCATTATAAGGTCTCCTAAGTATTGATATCAAAAGTATTCTATTTTAGTGTCCTCTGCAATATAAACATCCTTTTTGTTTGGATATTAGTATTTGTATCAGTTCCTACTATTCGTATTCTTCTGATACAAATATGAAAATACTTATGGTAATAGCTTAAATATACACAGATTAACATTTTTTATTAATATTTATTTATTAAAATATTATCAAATTAGTCAAAGGTTTCATTATATAAAAAATAAAGTCTTTAGTTTATCTTTGCCCTTTTATTTAAATAAATATTATCCAAATAATATATTTCTTTATTTCTTAGCTTTTGATTTTTTACTCTTTTTCGATTTCTTACGATACGGTCCAAGTCCATTCCGCACCATCGTGCCACGCCACCAAGATTGTATGCGTACAGCACACTCAACACGATACATTTGTTCTTCATAGAGACGGCGCTCCTCTTCCTTCTCCCGTAAATACTCATTGACGAACTGCTGACGTTCGGCTTTTATTTCCGAATGTTTTTCATGTGATTTTATAATTTCGGCAATACTTTCACTTAGCTGTAAATTTTTATCAAAAATCTTTGCCTTTTCATCTTTAAATTTTTGTTCCCAATGGGCAATTTGTTCCTGCAACTGGGTAGCTTCGTGTTTTCGAAATGATTCAACTTCACAAATTAGACGCTGTTCGCCAGCCAAACGACGATGTAAATCGACAATTTGTTTCATCAGTGAACGTTCTTCATTCTGGCCCATTATTGTGGCTTGCGAGAGACGATTTGCTTCCCATTTCTCGACGAGACGACATTCTAAATCATTTATGCGTTTAATATTGTGCAACTGGTCACGAAGTTGTTCCAAACGTTCGGTCCTATTGGCAAACTTCTCGTCGAAATTTGTTTTTTCTTCTTTCATTTGTTCCTTGAGCTGCCGCAGAATAGTTTTATTTTCACGTAGTTCCTTTGTAATTATATCGACTTCATTATTGTTTTGTTGACGTGATTCAATCGTCTGCATTAGCTCGGAATGTTCGGTAATTGTGTCACTTTGTAAATTACCATCCTCGTCAATAGGTGTTAACTGTTTGGTTAATTCATTATAGGCCAATTCATAAATCTGTCGTAATGCATCTAATTCTTTGTCCAGTTTTATGTCATCCAATATTTCCTCTGATGGCATGGGTTCATCATTCAGCAAGGTCGTTGGTGGTTTGGTAGATTTCTTGGTTTTTATATTTTTGGAATTTTTTAACGATTTTCCGCGTTGATAAATCAATAGTTGGGTATTTGTGTGATTGTAAACGGTAGCAAGTAAATCTTTTTTAAAGGCCTCTAAATCGGCGGGACTTAGTATTGGAAGTTCTTCTTCTTTGTTTGCTGCGGCCATGGTGTTGTCCAGGTGGTGTTGCAAGTGCAATTAGAGCAAAGTTGACATTCGCCGGTTGCATTGTGTATTTAGTAAATAAACAAATTATGGTACCTTGGAGATTGTTACCAACAAAACAACTGGTCGCTACAGTAAAATAAACAATTATCAGATGGTCCTACAAAAATATTATTTAACCAGTAAGGAAAGTAGTAAAGTCGGACTGGGTCGACTATATGATAGCCTTCACCACTTTGGGTATATTGTACATATGTATCCAAACAATTGCATGTCTATGTTCCCTCTTTCTCCAACTTATCATAATCATTCGAGCAGATTTAGAGCCGTCTGCGTAACATGGGGAAAATTTATGGAAAACGATTTATAGCAAAATTTATACACGCTATACGGTACGCCGCGTTGTTAAAAATATAATCTTTATGTGGGAGCTATATCTAAATCTGAACCGATTTTCACGAAAATTAACACACATCTTTCTAGACTTAATTCAGTACGCTATGCCAAATTTTGTGCAAATCGAAGAATACAAAGGGACTTTGGTGCCTAAATTTACCTAAAATCGGACGAAAATATATATAAGAGCTATATCTAAATCTCAACCGATTTTCTCGAAATTTAACACACATCGTTCTAGATTTAATTCAGCTCGCTATGCGAAATTTCGTGCAAATCGAAGAATACAAAGGGACTTTGGTGCACTATTTACCTAAAATCGGATGAAAATATATATGAGAGCTATATCTAAATCTCAACCGATTTTCATGAAATTTAACAAACATCGCTCTAGACTTAATTCAGCACACTATGCCAAATCGTGCAAATCGAAGGATATATAGGTTGGTGCATCATTTACATAAAATCAGATGAAGATATATATGGGAGATATATCGAAATCTCGACCGATTTTCCCGACCGATTTTCCCTGACCACTCATCATTCTAGACTCAAATTAGTACGCTAAGCCAAATTTTGTGCAAATCGAAGCATATAAAGGGACTTTGGTGCACTATTTACCTCGAAGGATATATAGAGATTGTGGTACAGCATTTACCTTAAATCGGACGAAAATATATATATGGGAGCTATATCCAAATCTGAACCGATTTTTAGGAAACTTGACACACATCATTCTAGACCTAATTCATTACGCTGTGCCAAATTTCGTACAAATCGAAAGATATGTAGGGACTTTTGTACACCATTTACCTTAAATCGGACGAATATATATATGGGAGCTATATCCACATCTGAACCGATTTTCTGGAAACTTAACACGCATCATTCTAGAACTAATTCATTACGCTGTGCCAAATTTCGTGCAAATCGAAAGATATATAGGGACTTTGGTATACAATTTACCTTAAATCGGACGAAAATATATATGGGAGCTTTATCCCAATCTGAACCGATTTTCACGAAACTTTACACTTGACCTAATTCATTACGCTGTACCAAATTTCGTGCAAATCGAAAGATATATAGGGTCCGTTTACATTAAATCGGACGAAAATATATATGGGAGCTATATCTAACCCGATTTTTCCCAATTTCAATATGCCAAATTTCATCCAATTCGTATTATAAATGCGACCTGTACTTTGTTTACAATTTAACATCGACAGACGAACAGACGGACGGACGGACATGCATAAATCGACTCAGAAAGTGACTCTATGCATTTTCTCAAAAGGAACCATGTGTCTATCTTGTTTCCTTTTGCCTGTTACAAACATATGCACAAAAACATAATACCCTGTACCACAGAATGTGAAGGGTATAAAAATCCAAGCTTATTACACAGGTGGTCCCTGAAAAATATTCATTAAAAAAACTCCGTTTATTACTCACATGGTCCATGAAAAAAGAAGGGGATAACCGATTTAAACTTAGCACATCCCAATATTTATTTCATATTTAAATTAAGTTCGAAGATCTCTTTGTAGTGAATGTAGCAGAAGGAGTGTACCAGAATAGGGTACATTTTGAAAATTTATTTAACCGACATCAAGTGAGTGAAACGTCTGATTAAAACCCAATTTTGCACATCATAATATTTCTTTTAAACTCAGAATAGGGTACATTTTGAATATGAAGAAAATCGGTTCGATCTTTCTAGTAACTTCCATACAAAAAATTAAAATCGGAAACATCGACTGAAACTTTTTTACAAGTGCTAAACTAGGAACTTAAAGTGCAATTTTCAATTTAACTATTTTTGCGTTCCGAACTTCAACAACATCTACAAAAATAGATTTATATGCAAATATATCAATGCTGATGATGCTGCTTTTGATGTGTTAAGTCAAGAACAGTGCAAAATGCTATAACGAATCTTTTGTTCATTCAATTTTATTGCCAGCACACACATACACACGCACCCACCATCCATCCATTGTAATCCATTGACTTGAGGTTAAGATAGCTGCGATTAAATTCAATTTCATTCTTTGCACTTTGGCCTTAACTCATCAGACAGACACATCATATCATGCAAGCCGGCCCCAGGCATTTTGGGGCGGTTGTGTGGCAAACCAGCATTCAGAACAATTCATTCAACTCCATTCAGCAGCAGAATGGAAATATCCCACACAAATATATATGTATATGCATATGTATGTGCATACATATGAAGTATTTTCGCTTCCAAATGAATGATGCCTCCCATCTTTATATGTATGGTGGTGATGATGACGATTCCAACTGCCTGACATTCAGTCAGTCAACCAGCCAGTCTAAACAATTTCGAACAAAGAAACCACAAAATAAGAAGAAGAAGAAAAAGATACAAGAAAATCATATATAGAAAATTGCAACACTTTAGCGCCTCATCAAAAGGCAACAAACGAAGGAAGCTTTCAGCCAGTCACTGTATTCGTGTGAATGGAAATTCATCATGTCAGAGCTCACGAACTTTTAAAAGGAAATCATCAGCCAAAACAATTTGTATGGCCACAATGGGAGACACGAATGGGGAGATGTGTGTGTGTGTGTGTCTTTAGTGGCTGACATTATATTGAACTTTAAGACAAGTGTTATGAAGAGAAATAAACTTAAATGGATGGGTTTAATAGAATAGGTTATTTTTATAACCTTTAACACAAGGTGATTTGACATCCCGTCATCATGTCCGCTGACTGTCACAAAATCACAAAAGAGGTCGCAATATTTAATATAGAACTTTTTTAATACATTGTAACTACGCCTAGGATGTGTGCTATTGAAAATTGGATATATCGGTCCACTTTTTAGTGTAGCTCCATATGTCCAATATTTGAAAGATTTATACCACGTAATTTGGCAATAGAAAAAATTCCCACAAAAAATTATCGGTATTGGTCAACAGCTTGGAGTACCCAAACATTCGGTATATTTAAGCTTCTGGACAGGTTTTCCAAAACAATTGGTTATAATTTAATATTCGGGATTCCACTTGAACTGAAAATCATACCAAAAAAATTTTAATATTAGCCCATACTTCGGAATTTCGGGGGGTTCCGACCAATTTTTAATACCAATATTCAATATTAGCCCCAGTTTCCCTCCGATGTGACTGTAATTTGGTATAAATTGTTCTTGAAAGGTGACATACATATATACAGAAAATGATCAATATAGGTTTATGTATTGTCATTATACCTATATTAGGGTAGAGTCCCATTGTGAGTATTATGAGGGTTTTGTTACATTTTTCCATTGTAGTTTCGGTAGTTTGGAATTCGCGGATATTGGAGGGCAAAACACGTTTTTGCGGAAAATTGTCAAAGTTTTGATATAGCCGGCATACAAAGGTAAGCGCATTTTTATACCCCCTACCATAGGGTGAAATATTCTCCGGAGATCCCGTAAAGTATAGATTTTCTTGTTCATCATAAAATTTAATATCGATTTACGCAAGTCCATCAATCTGTTAAAATCACGATAGAAACTGCAATATTTTTGATAGAGCTCTGAAATTCTGCATAGACATTTCTAGAACTCCTAGAATATTTGGTATTGCAAATGACATATATCGGTCTGGTACCGTTTTGGTATAGCCCCCATATAATGGCACCTCCCAATACTCAATATCTTGGAAATTTTGGACACGTTTTTCCATGCGGATCAGCTGTAATTTGGTATTTTGGGTTCTCATTGACCAACACATATCCGTACAAAAAATTATTAGTATTTACCCAAGTTTCAGGATGGACCCAATATTCGGTATTTTAAGAATATTAGACAGAATATTTCCAGCCAAATTGGCTGAAATTTAGAATTTACGTTTCCATTTGAATTACACATATCCGTAGCAAAAAGTATTAATATTGAGCCAAGTTTCAGGTTAGTCCCCATTTAACGGTACGGAAATGGCTGTAAGTCGGTATTTTGAGTTCTCATGGTAGAACAGACCCAAGTTTCAGGTTGGCATAACGTACTGAATTGAGCCTAGAGTGATGTCTGCCAAGTTTCGTGAAAATCGGTTCAGATTTAGATATAGCTCCCATATATAGTTTCGTCTGATTTCATGTAAATTGTGCACCAAAGTCCCCATATATCTTTCGATTTGAACGAAATTTTGCATAACGTACTGAATTGAGCCTAGAGTGATGTCGGCCAAGTTTCGTGAAAATCGGTCCAGATTTAGATATAGCTCCCATATATAGTTTCGTCCGATTTCATGTAAATGGTGCACCAAAGTCCCTATATATCTTTCGATTTGCACGAAATTTGACATAACGTACTAGATTAAGCCTAGAATGATGTCGGCCAAGTTTCGAGAAAATCGGTGTAGATTTATATATAGCTCCCATATATAGTTTCGTCTGATTTCGTGTTAATGGTGCACCAAAATCCCTATATATACTTCTATTGGCACGAAATTTGGCAAAGCGTACTGAATTTAGTCCAGACTGATGTGTGCTAAGTTTCGTGAAAATCGGTCCAGATTTAGATATAGCTCCCATATATAGTTTCGTCCGATTTCATGTAAATGCTGCACCAAAGTCCCTATATATCCTTCG